TGCTGCCTTTTAATAACATTTTAATGGCTCAAGCTGTGTATTTCTTGCTCCTTGTTGTGATTTTAAAGGTCTCTGCTTAGCAGTGAAAGTTTTGTCTTACAAAACAAAGATCTGGTACGCAGTTGTTTCCAGCCCATCTTTTTAAAAAGGTAAAGGTTGCCCTCGCACATATGTGCTAGTCGTTCCCGATTCTAGGGGGCGGTGCTCATCTCCGTTTTAAAGCCAAAGAACCAGCGCTGTCCGAAGACGTCTCCGTGGTCATGTGGCCGGCACGACTAAATGTCAAAAGATGCATGGAATGCTGTTACCTTCCCACCAAAGGTGGTCCCTATTTTTCTACTTGCATTTTTTACGTGCTTTCGAACTGCTAGGTTGGCAGAAGCTGGGACAAGTAACGGGAGCTCACCCCATTATGCGGCACTAGGGATTTGAATCGCTGAACTGCCAACCTTTCAATCAACAAACTCAGCATCTTAGCCACTGAGCCACCGCGTCCATCGTTTTAGACTTATGCAAAATAGATGTCTGTTTCACTAAATAACCAAAGCTTTAACTACTTTCTACATTTCGGAATTCTTTATCCATTGGGACTGGTCATAAGGATAATGTTAAACACACTCTATCCGCTCTTACACTCCTGAAGTGGCTCTTCAGATAGGGTTGCATAAATCTGGGCAATCTCTGATTGGCAGCAAAAACTCTGCATTTCTTTGCTGTTCTATCACAACTTTACAGAAGCCAAAAGTAACTGGATACAATTAATACGATTGTTTTTGATAATTTAACAGGGAAACACACACACTTATAAGGATTCCATCCATTTCTACTCAAATGATTGCCAGATTATAATAAATTATAAAGTATGTGGGCAAAATAATTTAGAAATTCAGAGTAAATTCAAATGTATACAATACCCATATAACAAAATAACAGAGTTGGAAGGAATCTTGGAGGTCTTCTTGTCCAATATACTCAAAGGCTGAATTTGCATAACATGGTTACTATATTAATCCATTTTCTGGATTCAGGTAATAGACTAAAGCATAAACTAATTTAACTTCAAATTAGTTGTAAATTTGTAAATCTTACAAACCCTCCAAAACACAAACCAACTCTAACCAGGATTAGAAATATACCAAAATTAGCAGATGCAAATATAAGCATTAGAATTTTAAATGACCTTATTAAGTTTTTCATGCAAATATGCAAGCCATAAATATAACCTAGCCCATATACTTATATACAGTTTTACATATGTATAACGAATTCCAATACCATGAATTTTAGTTCCACCTTAGGCACAAAAACTATCTGGGTGACTTTGGCTCCAGTCACTCTCTCTCAGCCTCAGGAAAGTGGCAATGGCAAACCACTTCTGAAATCTTGCCAAGAAAACTGCACATGTGTGTACACGCACATATACCTTTCTAGCACACTGGAAGAAAAAAAGAAAACTGCAAATAATAAGTATCAATTTTATAATATGTATCCAGGACTGTCTGTGCTATCTGTACATATAAGTACAAGCTGACAGGTGCTTCCAAGAATTGGGGTTGCTCTTATGTTGATGTCAGATGCCAGACTTACTAGTGCTTTAGGACTGAGGAACTGATTAGTTAGCTGAACAACTATGAATCTCCAAAATACCCGCAAAAATAATGTGAAGTGTTTCTAGATGTATACACAAAAGGCAATTACCAACATTAATTCCATTCGTCCTACAATTTAAACTGAGTATCAGAAACTCGTATCTCTCCAGATGTTGGAGTCAAACTTCTTGATTCCTCACCCTCAACCAAACTGCCTTAAGCTAGTGAAAGTTAATGTTCAACAATATGCTGAAATACCTCTGTTGCCCATAATTACATTTCAGACAGAAAAAATGAAGAACAGCCCATGTAGCACCAAGCCAGGAGAGGTTCTTAAAATGATTGTGTGTTTTTTAATGTCTTTTTGAAAATTATAAAAAAATGTTATGTGGTGAACTGCTTTGGCAATCCCTAATGGAATGGCATGAATGAAATGTTCTCACAAATAAACAAAAATAGGCCCCAAATGGCTGTACAGATAATGGTGGATAATTAGGGTAGCAGCAAACAGCACTCTCTCTTTCTTCCTATTTTTATTAACAATTATACTCAAGGGGCAGTTAGTTAGGAATGTATATAGATGGTTTGTAGAGATATGCATAATTACAGATCTAGGTACTTAGTTTCAAATAAAACATTGGATATTTAAATGTACTCCTGTAAGCTAAACTGTGCCACTGTGCTTATGTACTGATAAAGCTGATTTACTGATTTACCTTTCACTTAGTAAATAGAAAGACATGTCACAATGGTAAATATTGGGAGCCTCAAACCCCCTGCTAGAGAAGCATTTTATAATAGAAAATCAAAGGGCAAAAAATACAGTGCCCTCCCTCCCACAACATGAATATCTGACTGAATTTGGGGACACACTATTATTATTTTTTAATGGCCCAAAAGAAATAAAGATACTGGCATTTGTTTCAAAATCAGATAAAATGAATGAGTCAATGAATAATATGAGGAAAATGACAAGTCTTTGACATTGTTAGATGTGGAACAATGACTAAAAGCTGGGCTTAAGAAGAAAGCTAAACTGCACAATATGTATTTGGAAAATCTAAATACATGGGATGCATCACAGTTCCCAAACAGCTGAATTTTGTGTGACATGTATTGATCAAGAAATAATTTAAGGAAGAATCCTAGCAATCCAGAGATACCAACTCTTGCAGAACTGACTGATTCGGTAACTCTAATTCTGATTCTTGCTTCACAACGCTGTTTTGATTGGAGTTTTTGGGAATTATGTTCCCAACACATCCTGGGAGTGCCAGGCTGGAGAAGGACGACCTTAAATCTAGCTGACCTTGGCAGGTTTGCTGAAGTTAAAATTTCACATTGGTAAACTATTTCTCACTGTTTTCTGCCCAGTGTACCTAGCACCAAACAAAGTTTTCTTTATGACTGGGTCTCATATCAGCTATCTATTAATGGAACTGCCAGGTTTTCTATTAATGTCCTTCATAGTCACTCTTTTCCTACTTTTTTTTTTTGTTGTTGTTAAAAGGATCATGAATACAGGTTGGCAGAAAGCAACAGAGAAAAGTTCTTGGAGCTGTTGCTTTCAGGAGGCCTTATGTCTCATTTTAGAAAAGAAGAAAAATGTACCTTCTACCGGTTGAATCAGAATTGGATGCAAAAGTGCAGGCAAGAGCTGCCATGTTTCCCATTTCAAGGGCTGATTGAGAACATTTGTTTATTTATTGGTATTCCGCCTTTATTATTTTTACAAATAACTCAAGGCAGTTATGCACTGACCTATCTAACATATTTTCCTCTTCCTATTTTTCCAATCCATTTGGTGATCTCTCCCATTTGGTAATTGGACCAAGTAGCCACTGATTACGGATTTGAACCCTAATATCTTCAGGTTCCTGGTCAGCTTCCGTAACCTGAATGTAGTAAGTAATTAACTCCCGTGCATTCTTCATGCCCACCCAGACTTCATATTATCTTAGGAAGCCTGGACAAGCACACAAAAGGAAATTGCTATTGTGCAGGTACAGGATTTATGTTGAAAATATGAAAATCAGAAGCATATGCCCTTTCCAATGACTCTTTCTCACATTCATATTGTATCCACCCTGCTCAAATATAGTAACTGAAAAAGAGAAAGGATAATTCAAACATTTCAGAAGGAACAAACAGGTGGGAGGGAGGATTTAAGGTCACGGAAGGAAGAATGTTCAGTCTGTCAAACAGTTTGAAACTTAACAGCAACAGACGCTTGACGTGATTTCGTACATTTCCCTCCCTCACAATTCCATCAATCTGTTTTCTATTGGACTAAAACACAATTTAGTAGCAATAAAATCTCCATACCTCAGCTAGTTTTTTTTCCCAATTGGATCATTCAGGAAATAAAGTGGTTTCCATTCACCTTATTATTTTTGAAACTGCTTACTTATGCCTAGGCAGAAGATATGTCTATATCCTGGCTTAATAATGTATGTCTGATCATCTGGGTTGGATCACATTATCATCCCAGATACTAGGGGTGGGTTCCACTTACCTTTACTACTGGTTCGCAGCGGGAGTGCGCATGCTTGCGCTTCTGTGCATGCAAAGCTTCACCCAGATCACCCATGATGATGTTGTGGCGGGTAGGCGGAGCCTCCCGCTGGTTTTACTACCGGTTCTATAGAACCGGACCGAACCGGGAGCAATCCACCACTGCCAGATACCCAAACAAGAGTACAAATTCACACACCTATATTCCAAGGACTCTATTAGGAAATTTGCAAGGTTGAACTAAACTAAGAATCGGTGATGAAACTTAAACCACTGAATCTCCAGATGCTGCAATGCAAATCAGTTTCAGACTGCTAGAACCTGGTTGTTTACAGATGCTTAAATACTTGAATCGGTTTTAAAGAATAGACCCCCCACCTCACCCCCGCCTACAGACAGTATACATTATTTTTGCAACCAGATCTGTTTTACTGGGCCCTTCCAAATATACATTGCATGGGTGAGTGTAGTTTCCAGCTTCTTACATCTTCAATTTTCACTTCCCCAGATGAGCTCCTTGGCTGCAACTCCCATTCATTCCAGCCCTTTGGCAATATTGGCTGGGGTTAGCGGAGCTGCCAAATCCACCAAATTTGGAAGGAGCCAGTCTGGGGGAAAGCTGTAAAACCGCACATTTAGATCCCCATAACCTTCTTAACAAACGTCATACACCTCCCCAAAGTGCTTTCTTCCACCACTGCAACTCTTTTCTACAGGAGTGTGTGTGTGTGTGTGTGTGTGTGTGTGTGTGTGTGTGTGTGTGATTTACAACACTTCAAGGTGCCTTCTAGGTTGCTGGTACCCCCTCCCAGAGGTTCTGTTACTCATAAGAAGGAAAGCGGGGGTCGGGGGGGTCAGAAGCCCACTTGAGGGATATACCACCCCCAACAGTCTCACCTGTCTTCTTTGCGGTCCGCAGGAGGTACTCTGAGCACGTGGAAATCCTTCCCCCGAGACGAAAGCGATTCAAAACGATCCTTATCCCTAGCCTGGCAAGTTAAAAAGTTCCCGTGTTTCCAGCAAAACACCCCAGTCCAGCTTGTGGGTGTTATTGTTGTGATTAAGCTCTATTCTCCTCACGGCTAAAGGACCTCGGCTTCTCCTGGCTTTTGGCCCTCCGAGTCTCCAGATGGATTCGGAGCGGTCGGTTCACCGCCCTCTTTTTCAGGAGCAACCTACTTCTACCAATCCGTTGCTCCGAAGGCAACCTCTCCTCTCCCTTTCCCTTCCAGCCTGCCTCGCCTCTCTCTACCACGGTACTGTGGGAGGCGAGCTTGGAAATGAATCTCAACGCACGAAACAAACACGTTTCGTTCTTCTTTTTCTTTTCTTGTTTTTGTTCTCAATCTTTCTGGACACGTCTGTTCTTTTTTTTTTCCCCCCTCTCCTCCTCCGACAGAAAATATATCTTAGATCCTTTAAGTTGTTACATTTGCATTTGTCTCCCCCCCCCCTTTTGAAGGCGTTTCTTTTTAAAGAATCAGTTACAAAAAGATTATATATATATATATATATATATATATATATATATATATATATATATATATATATATATATATATACACACACAGACACACACACACATACAAACACATACAAACATACACACACACACACACACACACACACACACACACACACACACACATACATACATATATACATACATTACATATATATATATATATGTATGTATGTGTGTGTATATATATATATATATACACACACATACATATATATATATATATACATACATACATACACATATATATATATTCCTTTTTTTTTAACCTATTGAAAAGCTGTTTTATTGCATGCATACTCAGAAGTTCTTTTTTTAAAATATTTTATTGAGTTTATAAACATATATAAAATAACATTTCCATTAATATCGGATATATACAAAATATATACCTGGTGTCACTTAGACTACTTTTTGCTTTTATTTAACACACCTTTTTCTCTTTCTTTCATTTTATCATTCATTCATTCATTCATACCACCTTCCCCACACGGTATAATATTCTGAATTCTCGTCATCGTTTATTTCATGGGTTAGTTTGCTCATCTCTGCGCACTCCAGTATTTTCCTGATTATAAGTTCTTCTGGTGGCAGAGCTATATATATTCTTCTATCTTAATGATAATTTTGATGGGAGTCCTGGCTTACAAACAAAGAAGGAAAAAGCTGAAAATGTTGGGAGCTGGGAAGAATCAGGGCTGATGCAGAACAATAGAGTTGGAAGGGACCTTGGAGGTCTTCTAGTCCAACCCCTACTCAGGTCCCTAATATTTTTCTGCAAGAGTCATTGTCCTTTTCCTAGGCCACTTGTATGCACATGCTTCCCTTTAATGTGCAGTGGTGGGCAAACGTCACTGCTCATAGCTGAAGGACATTCAAAATGTTTGCATTTCATAAGAATGATGTCAACACCGCCACTATAAATAAATGAAAAGTAAGAGTAATTTCTCTCCAGTCTGGAACATTTTATGTGCGTTATTAAGAATGTTATTAAAATTATCATAATATAAAATACGATTACATATTTTATGTGTATGTACATCTATATGAATGTGGATATATGTGTACACTGTGGGTAGAGAGAGAAAATGCCCCAGGAAATCAGTCTAAATTTACTTGCTAATCTGATGATGTAAGGAAAATTTCTACTCTTAATGTCAAATATTGATCATCAAAGTCAAACTGATTACTTGTATTTTTCCAAAGGCATATAATCAAAATTACATATGGAAAATTATTTATTCTTTGAAATTCTCCTTCCACCTTCCATACTCACACTTTAGGATAAAGATTGGGTTCTTCCTCTTTTCATCTTCCTGCTGGATGATTTATTCCCCATGTTTTCTAATCAAGTTGATGATTTCCAAGTAGGAAACCAGAAGAGTATGGATACAAATTGTTCTTCTGCACTAGTTGATGAAGAGGTCCAATGTTTTTAAATGCAAAATAATATTTAAATAATTTTGGAGAACTGTGTTTCTGACAACTCTATCTTCATCTTCAATTTAGTCATCTTTGACTTGGATGCAATGCAATGAACATTTCCAAATAGGATAATCACATTGAGGTATTTCTAGCTCACTCTGGGCAGGTATCCAAAGAATGGTAATATCACCTGATGCTAGAAATAGTCCAATTTTGGGCAAGCATCAATTCAACTACCAAGGGTAATTTGTATATAAATTTGATTTGATTTCTAAATTACTGTCTTTAGGAAGTATCTAAGGAAGAAAACAACCATGGAACATTCATGGATGGAAAGAGACACTTCCTGGAATGACAAACACCCTACAGTATGCGTATACCGTATTTCCTTACACATAGTGTTCATTTTTTGCTTGAACATATGCATATGCACCAGCTTTATTTTGTTCGCATAATGGTAACAACAACATCTAGGCTCATGATTAGAGGATATGTTTCTTGATTAAGATGGAAAGCAAATTTATATCTCATAGCTTCTCTAAATCCAGTTTTCAATTCTGTCCTGTATATTGACAGAATGTAGGGAAGAACCAGTCTAACCTAAGCCATTTTGCTGCCCAAAATACTTCCTAAAGGTAAAGGTAAAGGTTCACCTCGCACATATGTGCTAGTCGTTCCTGACTCTAGGGGGCAGTGCTCATCTCCATTTCAAAGCCGAAGAGCCAGCGCTGTCCAAAGACATCTCCGTAGTCATGTGGCCGGCATGACTAAACGCCAAAGGCGCACTGAATGCTGTTACCTTCCCACCAAAGGTGTTTTTTTCTATTTGCATTTTTTATGTGCTTTCGAACTGCTAGGTTGGCAGAAGCTGAGACAAGTAACGGGAGCTCACCCCATTATGCGGCACTAGGGATTCAAACTGCTGAACTGCCGACCTTTTGATCAACAAGCTCAGTGTTGTAGCCACTGAGCCACCGAGTCCCTTAAAATACTTTCTAATTGAGGCAGAAAATCTTTCAAATCCTAGTTCTCCCAACCCTGATAATAAATGTTCAATAACAAATTTGCTACATGTTCATATCATCCAAAGCTTACTGCCAGTTTACTCTGTCCCAGAGAAGAGCCGGCTTCCAAGCAAAGAATTGAAAAGAGAACCTTTTGAAGGCTCTATCCCTATCCGAAGTCAAGGTTGGAGGTCAAAAAGCTAGATGCACAAAGTCCTGGTCTCCTTTTCTGCTAAATGCAGATATGAACCACAGAGCTCTCATAGGTCAAATGACTCTATTACTTCAGGATGCAGAAGCTGGGAAGCAGCAGCTAGTGAAAGCAAACTCAGCTTATTTTTGTTCCTTATGATAACTATCCACTTTTAAGTGCAATGGAACATACTACTGTTAATTTACTAGAGCTGAAGGAAGAATCAACAGTCCAGCTAGCTTTTATCTGGTTCTTTATATATGAAGACCATAATGATCTCCCTTGGCACCTACACATATATTCACACAGAAAAGGAGTTTTTTTAAAAATCTGGCATCCCTGTCCAAATATTTGGGAACAAAACTTTGGCCATGGGTAGTGGGGGATCGCTAGAAAGTTGAGATTTAGGGGACAGTAATGTGACTAAAATGGGACGCAGTGGTTCAGTGGCTAAGACGCTGAGCTTGTCGATCGAAAGGTCGGCAGTTCAGCGGTTTGAATCCCTACTGCCGCGTAATGGGGTGAGCTCCGTTACTTGTCTCAGTTTCTGCCAACCTAGCAGTTCGAAACCATGTAAAAAAAATGCAAGTAGAAAAATAGGGACCACCTTTGGTGGGAAGGTAACAGCGTTCCGTGCGCCTTTGGTGTTTAGTCAAGCCAGCCACATGACCACGGAGATGTCTTCGGACAGCTCTTCAGTTTTGAAACGGAGATGAGGACCGCTCCCTAGAGGTCAGGAACAACTAGCACATATGTGCGAGGGGAACCTTTATCTTTTTAATGTGACTAAGATCCACATTTATCATATTTTCTAATGGCACTGCATGAGAATAATCTTAAGAAAAGATTAGTTGATGCTTTTGCTCATATATGAGCAGACTATGATCTCATCCCAATTTTTGTTGTAGTTGTAGTAGCTGTAGTTTAGAAAATGTATGCACTGAAATTTATGCACCTACAAAATATATTCACATTTTTAAAAAGGTCACACACACACACATGTGGCACACCCTCAGTGCAGTGCCAGCAAATAGAGGCATAAAGCATAAATCATGCTAATATCTCTAGTTCATCTTGAATACCCTTATTTATGCTTCTAAACTTCACAGCCAGTTAGAACATTCTGTCTACTTTCAAGAGGAAAGTACTGTCCATTTCCTCTTTTTCTTTCCTTCCCCAATTAAGTCTCTCCTCCACAAATATCATTATTTTGAGAGAGACAGCCAAACCCTACTGGATATATCTGTTTGTCATCAAATTAAAAATTTGCAATGAATGAAAGGCAAAGATTAAACATAGACCCCTTTATATTATCACATCAATTTATTTTATATTATAAATCATTTAGAATCATCAATCCTAAAAATGGAACAGTAAAAACGTGCACTCAGAAAATTGCGGTGAGAAAAAAGCAGCAACCTCTGTCAGCTTCGGATGGTCAGCTGTGGCCATATTACAATTAGTTGTAATAGCTTTTAAAATGTGAAATGGCATATAAAACTGTTGCCTTTGAGCCATTTTTGTTTAGGGTGTGGTTGTGTGGCTTTATTGCCACAGGTGCTTCTCAGCTGAATTTCATGCAGCCCTCAAAGTAGTCTAATTTTAATAGCTCTTTGCAAGCAGGAATTTCAGGGTAGTTTGACCCTTCTCTGCTCCATAGAAAGAAGCAAGAGAGAGAAAAGAAGAAAGCTTTGGAAAGGCATTATAAATAAAACTTTCAAAAAGAGCGATAATAGGTGACTGCTTTTACTTTTGGTTCTGGCTACACTGTTTCTCACAATCCAGATTTGCCATGCTTACTACATGTGTGTCTTTCAACAGGTAATCCCTAGGGGTAATGGCAAACCCTAAAAGCAAAAGGCTTATTTACCTCCTGGTTTACTGATTCTTAAGGACGCCGTGGCTCAGTGGCTAAGATGCTGAGCTTGTCGATCAAAAGGTCGACAGTTCAGCAGTTCAAATCCCTCGTGCCGCATAATGGGGTGAGCTCCCATTATTTGTCCCAGCTTCTGCCAACCTAGCAGTTCAAAAGCACTTAAAAATGCAAGTAGAAAAATAGGAACCACCTTTGGTGGGAAGGTAACAGTGTTCCATGCACCTTTGGCGTTTAGTCATGCTGGCCACATGACCACGGAGACATCTTCGGAGAGCGCTGGCTCTTCGGCTTTGAAACGGAGATGAGCACCGCCCTCTAGAGTCGGGAATGACTAGCACATATGTGCAAGGGGAACCTTTACTTTACTGATTCTCAAAGACTGTTTCTAGGGTACTTGTCCTTCCTTTCATCTTCTGTTAAAAAGTCTTAATTATATATTTACACAAATTGTTATGTTAAGATTTTAATAATGAGTTAAATTTGACTAGATAGACCACGCCACGTCACACTGTCGTCACGTAACATTTCGCGATGTTTTTCCCATTCATGGAGCTGGAGTGGGCATGGCCTATGCATGACACATACGGCCTGCAGACCACCAGTTTGACCCCTCTGAGATAGACTATATGACCTGAGCTTACCTTTCTGTTGAAACAAAGCTAATTCAAAGGCTGAATTAACATTTATTTGAACCAACTTCCGTTACATAAGTATCTTTCCAGTAGTCCATGATCACTTTTTTCATAATAGTCCAGGCACAATTTATCTAAACTAATAAACTCCAATTTTTTGGGAATATATACTTTAACAATAAATTGACATCTTTGAATCTTAACTTCCTTCTAAAAACCCAGTTCATCACAATAATAATATTTAAACTATAACAAGTGGACATGATAATAACATCTGCACTACAGCTTCTTCAAATGTGTCACATCTCTAGCACAGAAAAAATGGGACCCAACTTTAATAAAATATTCTTTAAGAAGTCCAGTAGATCCCAAAAGTATTTTTTTACTAAATCAAGTGAGTGGTTTAAATTGTTTAAATGTTAAATACTTAACATTTCTTCAAAGATTATTGATAATTCCTAGCTGCCAATACTGAGCAACGTAACCTGCTTGGAACGAAACAGGTTAAGATCTAGACACCCAGCCATCTTTACTGCTAAAGCATTTATAAAAGATTATTTCAACCCTCACAATATGTGGAATCGACACTGGATAGAAAATTGCTCCCCACAATGAAGAGGCTTTCCCTGCATCTTGGAAAAGCCACCTGGATTTGACCAGCCCTGTGCAATATGGACAACATTGAACCACATTCGCAGTGGACATTGTAGATGCACATATGTCCTCTGTAAGATACCATCACCGAATTGTGATTGTGGGGCTGAAAAACAGACTATCCAACACACAGTGACAGTGTGTCAAAACAGAGTCTATAATGGAGGTTTCGCTGGTTTTTGGGCTGCAACAAATGGAGTAAAAATTATATTTGCAATTTAGGTATACAATATGTTTGTAATCTTCATGTTAAGATTTCAGATTTTATATTCTAGCTTATATATATATTTATTTTATATTCCATCATAGATAGATAGATAGATAGATAGATAGATAGATAGATAGATAGATAGATAGATAGATAGATAGATATATATAGATATATATATATATATATATATATATATATATATATATATATATATATAGTTATATTCAAACCTGTGTTCCTTTTCACTGAAAAATGATATGAATGTGCCATATGATAAATAAATCTTCAAATCTAAAGGCACTGATTTTGCAATACAGGTAATCTTTGACTTATGACTGTAATGGAGCCTGGACTTTTTGTCATAAGTCAAAACAGTTGTAAGTTTAGGCATCCACATGAGTGATCCACTGTTAAAACTTTTTGCAGCAGTTTTAAAATGGTGGCTGGGCAATTCTGGCTGTTGAAATCCACCCAACTTACAGTTGCCAAGGTTGAGAAAAACTGCAAAAGAACACCAGGGCCAAACAATGAAACTAAAAAGGGTTTAAAATTTATATATCACCATTCACCATTAGGTATGTTATATTTCTAGGACAATGCTTCAAAGAGAGCAGTAGTTGCTTGTCCCTTAGCAGAAGGAATTCAAGTATCTTTTCTTTGTAGACCAGCTGATCAGTTGGCTAGTGGGAAAAACTGATAGCACTTTCTGTTAAGTATTAAGTGACAGTTTAAATAAGCCAATCAGGAGTGAATCCTGAGAGCGGGAAATTCGGAGAAGCGTCAGTGGCTGAAGCCGGGGACAGCTCCCATTTAAAAGGAGCTGCTGCGGCTGGGGTTTGCCATTACTGTTACGGAGCCGAATAAAGTATCTAAGTTTACTGCATGTCCAGTCCTTTCTTAATCGCCCACGATTTAACACTGGCGACGAACATGGGATTCTGAAGGACAAGGATGAAACATCGAACTCCAAAGCAATCAACAGCCACCAGATCGATGACCCCGTACCGGTCAGATCATCGGCTACAGAGATGTCTGCAATCAGTCTACCTGCCCCATTCAACCCAGCCAGAGAAGATTGGGAAGCATACATGGAGCGTTTCTGTTAACAAGTAGATGACCAGGAAGAAAATTTGCTAAAATTTGACTCTGTGGGGAAGAGAAAAGCAAGAAAGGTTTCCTTTGCATCTCAAAGATCCATTTTAAGATAGGTGGTTTTGTTTCTGCTCCCATTACCAGTAACAGAAAAGTGTCATCAATCTTGGCCAATTAATTAACAGACTGATCTGTTATCAAAAAAAGTAATTTTTTTGCATCACTCCTGTGGCTTTTAAAACTACAAGAAAGGCGGTTTTCTCATTTAAATTAAACTATTAAGCATACATTGAAATACCTCTAGTTAAAATTAAAGTTTAAAGTGCTTAAATCTGGCTAAAGCAAGCCATTGAAAAATATCTAACTGGTTAGGATTAATTTTCACTGCACTCTGCAAATATTTTACTATTTCAAAAGGGGAATTATAAGTATTTATAATGATAACTGCTAGATCTGCTTAACATACCATTCTTAATTTAAAAAAAAAAACATGCTGAGGTAATGTTCAATATTAACTTTGCTTATCTATTGCACATTTGATATGAAATACTATACTTATAAAAGTTTACCTGCTCTTATGAATACCACATAGTTATGTCTTCGTAATCACATCATCAAAGTTTCATTTCTTCCCTCAGTATTTTGCATAATATTTGAAAAATCCAGCAAGAATCTACAGATTGACATGCAAAATCAACACCTATTGAGAAATAGACCACGTTGAACTGTATAACACAGTCAAACATTAGGAGTTGTCCTCAGGAAATGTTTTATGATATGTTGAATTATGTCATAAAATGTTTTATGATAATTTTTATGTCATAAAACCTTTTATAAAAGCAGTCAAAATTCAATTTCATGGCAATCACAAATCCCAGATTTTGGGCGCATTGTTAAATTAGGTGAGGTATCATGACTTTTTTCCCCTTCGCTAAATCGGGTGTGGGCATGGCCAGTGCGTGACATATCTGGCCTGCGGGCTGCGACTTTGACACTCCTAATTTAGTCCATTAGGATCAGTGGTGGGTTGCCCCCGGTTCACACCAGTTCTATAGAACCGGTAGTAAAACTGGCAGGAGGCTCCACCCACAGACCCTGACGTCACCAAAACGCTTCTGTGCATGCGCAGAAGCTTCTGTGCATGTGCAGAAAAGTGTGCGTGGCACCCTTGCAAAGCGGTAGTAAAGGTAAGTAGAACCCACTCCTGATTAGGATGAAATACTGTGGTCCCATTTAAGCATCTTTTAATTTCAAATGGAAACAAGAATCACAGCAGGCCACTAAGCTAAATCCATGATAAATCTTCAGAAAATAAGTCCTCTACCTTTGCAGAGGATGGAACTGATTTCAGTTAAATATGAACTAAGTTACCTGTTCATAGTAATGCAACCATTATTAGATGGATCTCCAATCCTTTTCATCTGTATGTGGCCTGCTATTTGCCTTAGGCCAGGCTTATGGTATCATAGAAACCATGAGGCCTGAATTATAGGCCATCACAGCAATGACATAGATCAGCAATGTCATAATGCAAACCCTGTCATTATGTCCTTGTGTCCCAATGTACACAGGTAATAATATTTGCATTATGATATCATTATGCCTGATTTGCCCCTCCCTTTTGCCTGCCCCACAGATGCCAATGCCCTCATTTAGTCTTTTCTAGGAAGTTGTTGGACAGATATATATGATATAAGAATCTTACCAACAGAATTTTTAAAAGTGGGGGGGGGAGTAAAACAATCTAAAACATTTTAATAGCTAACAGTGGAAATGGAGCCTTTCCTATGTTCCCATTGCTGGCATTGCTAATATCAATAAAAAGAGGAAATAGGTTGTGCTTAGAGCAGAGGATCCTTGGTGGCTGTCTAATTATCACCACCTGATATCAATAGGGCCCTTACATTGGTCTTCACCTTCTTTTATAATGCCATCCATTTGTGTACCCCCAACAAAACGGGAACATTTCTGCTGTTGGATAGATAGACATGGGCTTCATTCACACAGGCAGGATTTTTAAACTGTGGTTTGTTAAAAACCGGCAATGGCCTGATTCATGCATGATTGCAATCCTAGTCATAATTTGTCCAAAATAATCCCATTATGGTTTAGAATTCAGGGTGGTGCTCTTGACATTTTTACAGAGTATCTTGATTAAATGAAGTTTGTTGATGTGAGATTTCAAAAGTGACAGTACCTGCATATTTTTAGGAGAATGCAGTTCATTCTGCCTTGCTCCTCAAGACTCTACCATTCGTACTGTATATACATAAGCCAGGCTCAGGATGAGCTGCTGAGGAAAATATTATGGAGAACTCTCATTGGGAAAATGCATTCATTCACAAGTGATTGGTGTGGGCTTGGATTTGCCTATGTGCAAATCAACTATCTTAACCCCAAAGGAAATCAACCCTGACTGTTCTTTGGAAGGACAGATACTGAAGCTGAAGCTCAAGTACTTTGGCCACCAAATGAGAAGACTCATTGGAAAAAACCCTGATGTTGGGAAAGATTGAAAGCAAAAGGAGAAAGCGACATCAGTGGATGAAAAGGTCAGACAGTGTCATTGACACAATAAATGTAATTTGGGCAAACTCCAAGAGCCAATGGAGGACAGGGGAACAGGTATTCTGTGATCCATGAGGTCACAAGTTGGATGTGATCTAGCGACTGAAAAACAATGACAAAATCAACTATCAGAAGGGGCTGGTGTTACATAAAAAGCCCATTGAAAAACTAGCTGCCATGTTTCAGTTTTGGAACTTCAGAACTGACTGCTACCCACAAGTGTGCCCACCCCCTCCCAGTTACTCTTTAAAGTGGTCTTCTCGAACCTACTCCAACCTCACTAATTGGGAATTGTATGTTTTATAATCCAAGGTAATCCTGAATTAAAGAAGAAGCCAGCTGTCTCCCATCTTTGGAGACAGCAAATTCCATGAAAAAAATAGTCTAAGGCCCATTCAGCAGCTGTAACATGGCTTTAGGCCATGGTTTTGCAAGGGAGAGTAAACTCTTGATGATGTAATGTAATTTGATAAGCTGCTTTGCTCCTAGTGTTTTCTGGGCCACAAAGGGAGCCAAACCTGTTTCTGATTTCCTTGTTCAGTTTCACCTAAATACAATTGGCTCAGTATCTGAAGATATAGTTACTTTCCTCTAGAATTCTTCCTTTTTCAGTTTATATATTTTGTACCATTTTTGCTGTATCTGCCATTTTACCTCTTCCCTCCACCCCTTTGGTAACACAGCTATAGTTCCTCTTTTTTTTTTCTTTTGAGCTCAAACACAATTGCTCACATATTATTGTTTAAAATATGTTATTACTAACCCTAGACATTTAAGTCTGATTAGAGCAGGGATCCTCAAACTTGGCAGCTTTAAGACCTGTGGACTTCAACTCCCAGAATTCTCCAGCCAGCATAGCTAGTTGGAGAATTCTGGGAGTTGAACTCCACAAATTTTAAAGCTGCCAAGTTTGAAGACCTCTGGATTAGAGAATCTATCATGCTTCCAAAAATATACCAAACTTGAGCATTCAGGACAGCATCCCCATGATTAGGCAAAATTTGCCCATCCTGGTTGTTTCCCAATTCCTAGAATTTCCATGAAGTTGCTAACATGGATTTCTGCAGGCTGTACTCTCCAAACGCCTACAGGGACCCAGTTTGAGGAAAGCTGGTAAAGGTAAAAGTTCTCCTTGCACATATGTGCTAGTCGTTCCCGACTCTAGGGGGCGGTGCTCATCTCAGTTTCAAAGCCGAAGAGCCAGCGCTGTCTGAAGACGTCTCCGTGGTCATGTGGCCGGCAGGACTAAATGTCAAAGACGCACGGAACGCTGTTACCTTCCCACCAAAGGTGGTCCCTATTTTTCTACTTGCATTTTTTAAGTGTTTTCGAACTGCTAGGTTGGCAGAAGCTGGGACAAGTAACCGGAGCTCACCCCATTACACGGCACTAGGGATTTGAACCACTGAACTGCCGACCTTTCAATCAACAAGCTCAGCATCTTAGCCACTGAGCCACCGCATCCCTTGAGGAAGGCTGGATTATGTCATTAATAGTGCTTTCATTTTTTTTTCATATCACATTATTATCCAGTATACTATTTTTATTATTTCATTTATACTGATCTGGACACCTCAAGGACAATATATATATTTCCAAACCAAATGAGAATTAATAGATAACATTTTAAACTTTTTTTTAAGCTTGTCAATGGACTTTAACACCTAGTTAGCCATCCTATTGCAAAATCACTGAAGCCTAAATGAAAATGTTGAGCTTATCCATGATTACTTGGAAGTGTATCATCATCAGTTTAATGAGGTTCACCCCCAAGTTTCATTAAATATGTGGATGGGATACTCTGAACATTTTGCCTTTTTTCATTGCTGTCCATCTATGAATAGAATGTAATAACATGGGTTTACTACCTTGGCACGTTGAATACAAGAAAAGCAAGTTAAAGTAAATTATCACCACCACTTTTAAGATACAGCAGGCAGAGATATCAAACAAATGCCGGTGACACATCTAAACAGTAAAAAAAGAGCATGTGTTTACTTTAGTCTGCTGAAGGATTACGGGGCAAAGTCTGGTGGGTGGTTTTAAAAAACCATTTCTATAATCCAACCTGCAGTGCACAAGTGTTAATAATTAAATAACAGCAACCAGAAGCTGCTTTGAGAAGGATTAGTTTTCTTTTGCTATTTTTTAAAACAGAGTTCAAACATTTTGAACATACAATTGTTTTGGTTGTTGCTTCTCACTTGTAGCATAATAACTATGGAAGAGAGGTAAGAGAGATTGAAACAGAAGCTTGTAATGAAAGCAATTTTTCCCCGTATGTATGTTTGGGTCCATGTCTGTCTCCAGGAAAAGTTTTGCGCAATCTTCATAGGAAACCCATTGTACTTCTTCCTGCTCCAGTGTGATACATGTGCATGAAAATTAAAAGACATCCAATAAAAGAATTTGGCCACTCTGTATATCCAAAGGTAAGGGAATGGATATGAGCCAGATGATTGCACAAATGAGACAGAGCATATACAGAAGTCCTAGAGATAATTCCTGGTATGTCAAGATCATTTCAGAGACAGACCACCAAAAAATGTAAAATTTGTCTGGATTTTTTCTAAGAGCAAAATCCTTTTTTCCCCCTCCTTGTTCTGGAATGCAACATTTTTAGGCTTTTGCCCAGCTGGCCTAAGAAGCGGTACTACTAGCTGTGTTTCATTTTGTTGGTAGGTTTGTAACTTATTCCTTACCCAATAAAATTACTTTTTCCTAAGCAGCGTGGTTTTTCACAGGTATCCTGTTGTAGGCTGTTTGTACTTGCATCAATCTCAAACCGCTGCATCTCAACATTTGCATTACTGTTGGTGATGCAACCTTTCAGTTGGTTAAGCAGATTCACACTGGCATTTGGTTAAGAAATCAAACGGATGCTGGTTGTTTTTACCTTCTGTAAAGTCAAAATCCACTTTCTATGGATTAATAATAAATGGATGCAATTTGCCAGGCCATGTCCCCCATAGTAGTCTTTCTTAAATGGGCATCCCTTTCACAAAAACTCTGTCATCAGAATGCCAACATATTTTCAGAATTCAAAATGATTTGGACCTCTGCAGTGATGATCAGAAGAGCACTGATAAGCAGGAGGAATAAGCA